CCGTTGGTAGGTCGTGGGGTTCCGCTGAGCTTTGGACCTTCGGTGTTGGTCTTTGGAAGCCTCATCAGGGTCTCAGGTGTGAAGGTGTTTTTCTCTCTCTGTTTCAAGCTGTCAAGATTTCGTTACTTAGGAGACGTAGGTTTCGAACCATGGACCCGCCAAGTGCGCCGTCTGTTCATGATGCTCAACAGGTTATGTCAGCCCAAGACGTGCCGCTTGCTTCGCAGCACACGGGTCAACAGCTTGAAGGAGAAACGGCAGGGCCAGACTATGGAGGACAGAGGCCGGCCGTTAGGCTACCTTTGCCTAACGGTGTACCACCCACTGAAGTACGGCGTTCTCCTGAGGATCTGGTGGAAATGGAGTCCCTCAGAGGCTCACCCTGGGCAGCTGGCATGGAGCATGCTACAAGTGGTGGTGTGCTTTCAAGTTCCGGCCGTTTAGCAGAAGCCTGGCCAGCTCAACCGGACCCCGTTAGGGATGTTTTCTCCGGCTACGTTTTCATGGGTGTCCCGACTGGGAGAGTTTCTGAGGACTCAGATGCCTGGCGTGGAAACAAGGACTACGTTAACAAGACAGCAGGTTGTAGCAGCAAGTGGAGAGGTGGTTAATTAGCCGCGAGCATGTACACCATACTACCTCGAGGCCTTCTTCCCCGCAGAGACGCTCTTCTTTGACTGAGGCTGCTTCTGGTACGCCGGATCCGAATGGCCCGCAGGGTGGTGAACCAGACCCGCCTTTGTTTGGACCTGGAGCGCGGAGAGTGATGGAGGGCTGGCGCTCTAGAGCGCCACTGCTGTACGGTCCTCAGCCAGATCGACCGGCTACGGACCGGGGTCTTCGGCGTCTATACCCAGAGAGGTAGTCCAGGAAGAAGTTCGTCGTCAGGTTCAAGAAGCTTTAGAGTCTCAGAGGAAGCATATGCAAGAGCTAGTGGAGGAGAACCGCAGGCTTCGTGACGATGCTGCGATACAAGATCGTCGTTCAGAACTGGTTCCCCGGAGGGTACAGTCTCTTGGGGATGTACCTCGAGCAGCGTTTGTGGACAATACAAGCGGAGCTCCAATTGCAGCAGTTCAACATCAGGGGCATCGGGCTTATGAGCAACCTTACAGCCCACAAGACCCTGGAGCTGATCCACCTGGTGTTCGCGAAGGACTTGGAGTACCGCAGGGGCATCGGGCTTTTGATCAGCTCCCTAGCGGAGAAGTACCTGGAGCAGATCCATCTGGTGTTCGTGAAGGACTTGGAGTACCTCAGGGGCGTCGGGCCTTTAGCTATGCCTATGATAGTGAAGTGCCAGGCGGTGGTCCTTCCGGTGTTCGCGAAGGGCTTGGAGTTCCTCAAGGGCATCGGACTTACGAGCAACCTTATAGCCAACAAGGACCTGGTGCTGATCCAACTGGTGTTCGCGAAGGACTTGGAGTACCTCAGGGGCATCGGGCTTATGGTCAGCAGGGCAGCTTCAATTTACCTGGTGCTGATCCAGCTGGTGTTCGCGAAGGACTTGGAGTACCTCAGGGGCATCGGGCTTATGGTCAGCAGGACAGCTTCAAAGTACCTAGAGCAGATCCAGCTGGTGTTCGTGAAGGACTTGGAGTACCTCAGGGGCATCGGGCTTATGATCCGCCTAGCGAGTTCAATGTACCTAGAGCAGATCCAGCTGGTGTTCGTGAAGGACTTGGAGTACCTCAGGGGCATCGGGCTTATGGTCGGCCTAGTGGTTTCAGCGTACCTGGAGCAGATCCAGCTGGTGTTCGTGAAGGACTTGGAGTACCTCAGGGGCATCGGGCGCAAGGGTCGTTGCTTAGCCAGAGTGTACCTGGAGCAGATCCAGCTGGTGTTCGCGAAGGACTTGGAGTACCTCAGGGGCATCAGTCGTGTTCTTTGCCTGATGGCAAGGTGTCCGGTGGCTCTTATGTACGGCGTGATGGTCGTGTGCGGTCTGTCTCCCAGGAGCCCCGTGGTGGCGGTTACTCAACAGGCCGTGTACCAGGACAAAGGACCTCGAGTGTGGATCGGAAGTCTTCGCCCTTGGCAAGGGTTCCCTATGGAGAGACCTCGCCTACTACAAGACCGAGTGGAAGCAGGCGTTTCTCGTTCCGGGATCAAAGTGATGATACAGGGTTTTTGCAAGGAGGCCTTGGTGTTCCGCCGGTGGAAGCTGCGTATCGTCCTCCGGGCTTTCGCGACTCAAGGACTTATGGTGACTATGGCTTTGAAAGGCCGCCCGGCTTGGAGATGCGAACGCAAGGACCGGTTCCGGGACCTCCCAACGAGCCGATCCCCTCTGCAGGAGCTGATGTTCATCAAGGGCAAGCTGCTTCTGGGTTTGGCTCTACTGGGCCTTCGGCAATGGATGTGTTGATTACCGGGATGGGCCAGTTGCAGCAGGTGTTGCTGAAGCAACGAAGCGACGTTGTTGATCTGGAGCCGAAAGCGGTTTCAGAACTGGCAAAGTTACCAGAGTACACGGCGGAAACAGGGGCCATTGACTTCCAGGATTACCTGTACTTGGCGGAGCAGCAGATTGGAACGTTGGCTTCCGGAGCAGGAGACTGGTGGTCCCGTACGTTAAGTGTGGCCCAGCAGGCGTATGCAGAGTACCAGACGCTATCGCCAGTGCGGCGGTTGAATGTCGTCCCCTCTCTCACCGATGACTTAAGGGACGACAAGTACAAGAAGCTGGAGCGGAAGGTGGCAGCCTTGGTTCTGGCTTCCTTGCCGAAGAGCGTTCGAGATGATTTGGTGGCCTACAGGGTGCAGGGAGTGCATCAGATATTGTACAGGCTGATGGTCATCTTTCAACCCGGTGGCGCCCAGGACAGAGCTCAGTTGTTGAAGCAGCTGGATGTGACAGAGTCCGCGCCGGGACCCGCCGAAGCTACAGCAGCGCTGAGGAGATGGTACAGGTTGTTGCAGCGTGCTTCGGATTTGGGCGTGAAGTTGCCAGATGAGTCCTTGCAGGTGAAGGCTTTGTCGGTTATAGTCAAGCGGACGTCAGAGCAGAATGCGGACTTCAAGTTCAGGTTGGCCTTAGCAAGGACGGAGTTGCAGATCGACACCCGCCCCACCCAGGAGAACGTACTACGTTATCTACAACATCTCTTAGCTGAACTTGAACAACTGGGGGCAGTTATGAAAAAGACGACCCCGTCCTCTACCGCAACCTCTACTGCTACTCCCTCGGCGGCGACTCCAGCAACCACGCCCGCCTCAGGAGGAGCATACTTGAAGGGCTTGGCTACCGCGCCGGATCCCAAGGGCAAGGCTAAAGCCTCTCCGGCCAAGAAGGTGTGCTCTTGGTTTGGAACCGATCAAGGTTGCAAGAATGGCAAAGCTTGCAGCTTTCAGCACCTGTGGACAGGCCTCAACCGTGGTGAAAGGTGTCTCCTATGTGGTTCCAAACAGCATAGAGCGAAGGAGTGCCCTACAGCAACCTCGAGCTCTACTTCGGATAAGCCGCAGGCCCCGACTCGTGCGGCGAAGTTACAATCAAGCTCTGCAGCTACGACTTCGGCGTCCTCACAGACTGTGGAACCTGGACCAAGCCAGGGAGAGGGGTCTTCGTCTGGAGGACCGAGTGCTGCCACGACGACTACCAGCGGTGTTCACAATAAGATTGATGCGGCCAAGGTGACGGAGATCCTTAGTGAGACCAACAAGATGTTGAAGGCCTTGGCTACACCGCAACCTCAACCGGCTACTACCACCCCAGCGCCTTTGGACCCGATCGAGATGATCCAGAAACAGCTTGATGAGGTGAAGAGGCTGTGAGAACTTTGGTGGTTCGGGAGCCCGATGAGCCGGCTCCAGCTTTCTTGAGTGCTGTGGCCTGGTACGAAAGTCGTCTGCAGTCGACTGCCGTCGCCTCCGGAGAAGGCGAGGATACAAGTGAGGCCCTCCTGGATAGCGGTGCGAGCCATGCATTTCGCCCGCCTGTGTCCCAGGAGGAGCTAATGGTGTCAAAGCGAGTTGGTGTTTCTTTGGCCACTGGGGAGGAGCGCCGCATCCTGCAGAACTCCGGGGGCGCGTTGCTGAGTGAAGGCAAGAAGGACGCTACAATCCTTCCGATGGGACAGTTGGTCACGTTGTTGGGCTGTCGGGTGAACTGGACCCCCAGTAGACTGACAGTGATACACCCTGCCCATGGCAAACTTCAGGTTCGTCTTCGCGGCCACTGTCCAGTGCTCCCTGTGACCCAGGCGCTTTCGCTGATCTCCGAGTTGGAGCAGAAGAGGATGGAGTCCTTTGAGAAGACCGTTCAGGAACTACAACTCCAGATAAAGGCGCTGAAGGAGAAGGGCATGCAGGGATGGACCTGGGAACAGCACTTGCGCGCTTTAAGGGAACAAGGGGATCGCACGCATTTGGCGGGCTTCCTCCACAAGAATCCGGTGTTCTCCACGGTGAAGGCTGAAGCTCTACTTGGGATCCCGGAGAATATCCCCTTGGAGGGTCGCGACGGCTGGAACTTGCTGAAGGGAATGCCGTGGTCGAGGGCCAAGAGGATATGAAGTTCTCATCTACAGCCGTGGGGGGGGTCGAAAACAGGGTTCGCGTAATTCACCTGGGGGGGTTCACTGAAACAATGGTGTTTTTTGATCTACACACGCACC